AAGTGCTCCTGTTCAAAAATTGCTTAGTGAATTTTCTAATAATAGTTTTTCACAGTTTTCCTTTGATTTATGCGAAGCCTTTTTAGCGGCAGATATTCGTCTGTGGAAACTAACCAATCCTACTCTGAGAAACTTCATAGAGAAGTATACACAGTGCAAAGTGCCGGGTGAATCTACTGTGCGCAAAAATTACGTGAAGCAGTGTTACGATCTTACAATTGAAAGCATTAGAGATAAGATTCAAGATAATTTTGTGTGGGTATCAATCAATGAAAAACAAGATTGTGAGGGATGGTTTATTGCAAATTGTATAGTTGGATCCATTAATAAGAATGAACAATCTAACCCATATCTTCTTGCGGTAGAGCAATTTGAAACCAGAATAGCTCCGCAGTTTCTGAACTTTTTATCAATTCCATGAATTTACTATGGGCGAATGGCATTCAGTATGAGCACGTACTGCTTTTTGTGACTGATGCTGCAAGTTATATGATGAAAGCCAGTACTGCTCTTAAAGTTATATTTCCAAATATGACGCATTTGACTTGCCTTGCCCATGGGTTGCATCATGTTGCAGAAACAATTCGTGCAAATTTTCTGCTTGTTGACAAGTTGGTGTCTTCTGTGAAGTAGGTATTTGTTAAAGCGCCACACAGAAAAGAAGCCTTTAAAGCAGTAGCACAGAGCGTTCCACTTCCGCCAGAACCAATTTTAACGCGCTGGGGCACGTGGCTGTGTGAAGCGAGTTTTTATACCGAACATTTAGAAACAGTTAGGAATGTCGTGATACATTTGATCCCAAAAGTGCAGTATCAATTCAAATTGCCCAAGATGTACAGGGGATGGACAGAAATATGCAAACACCCAACAAAAAACACATTACCATAACTAATATGGTGTAGGACAACCTCAGGCTTGCAGAACTGCCTGCAGTCTCCTTGGAATGGATAAATAGAGGTCCTGTATGATTTGCAAGGGAATCTTATACCATTCTTCCTGCAAAACTTTGGCAAGTTCTGTTAACGATGATGGATGTGGATAGCGTACATGCAGATTGCTCACCAGAACCGACCACAAAGACTGAATAATATTGATATCTGGCGATTGTGGGGGCCATGACAGATGTGACACTTCATCTTCATGCTCAGAAATCCAGTCCTGGACGATGTGAG